TTAACTCCCCTGGCACTGAAAAATGTTCTTTCGAACGTCCCTGTGGCTCATGTGGGAACTCAGTCTCCACCTGTGTCCCCTTGTTCGCGTCCCACCAGTGTTAAGGAGTTTATCCTTATCTACCCTGTCAATTCCCCTGAGAATTTTGTAGGTAGTGATCAAGTCTCCCCTTACTCTTCTGTCTTCCAGTGTCGTAAAATGGATTTCACGCAGCCTTTCCTCGTAACTAGTTCTGGGACTAGTCTAGTGGCATACCTCTGAACTTTTTCCAGCTTAGTCTTGTGTTTGACAAGGTATGGGCTCCATGCTGGGACTGCATACACCAGGATTGGTCTTATATATGTGGTATACAAGGTTCAGAATGATTCCTTACACAGGTTCCTGAAGGCAGTTCTGATGTTAGCCAGCCTCGCATACGTCGCAGATGTGTTTCTTTTTATGTGGGGCTTCAGGAGACAGGGTTGGTGTGATATCAACTCCTAGATCTTTCTGTCCGTTTCAAGAAAGACTTCATCTCCCATTCGGTATCCTGTGTCTGGCCTCCAGTTTCCTCCGCCTAGTTTCATTACCGTATTGTGTGTATATCTGTATATATGTCCGTATGCCTGTGTATGTGTATATACTTGATTATATGTGTACACATATGTTCGTTTACTTCGATACGACAGACACCTAAAAAAAACCTATTCCTCTCATAAACAATATTGCATAAACAACATTGAACATCGAGAAGTCAACAGTCGCACTTTTACTGGAATGGAAATAACGGAGAATTTTGTGGACAAAAATCCCCTCTAATCTACCCGTCGAGCAACAGATCGTCGCCATGATTTTTCTATGTTGACCTCTTGACCTTACCGCGCGGGTCGCCAAGGGTCGGTGCCAAAAATACCAAGTCGTGAAGCATCACTTGGAGACATGCTGATGACCTTTCAAGATCAGTTTGTATCTTTTTGAGATCAGTCTCGCATCTCTTTGAGAGAAGATAGCATCTTATCACTTGTCATCCCTTCGACTACACCAGTTGGCTTCCATTTGACACCAGTTGGCAGCCATTTGACACCAGTTGGCAGCCATTTGACACCAGTTGGCAGCCATTTGACACCAGTTGGCATCCATTTGACACCAGTTGGCTTCCATTTGACACCAGTTGGCTTCCATTTGACACCAGTTGGCATCCATTTGACACCAGTTGGCATCCATTTGACACCAGTTGGCTTCCATTTGACACCAGTTGGCAGCCATTTGACACCAGTTGGCAGCCATTTGACACCAGTTGACATCCATTTGACACCAGTTGGCATTCCCTTGAGACAAGTTGGCATCCCTTTCAGATCAGTTGACACACTTAAGTGACCAGTTGAAAGTGACAAGAAGTTTAGAGGAATGTAAGTGTTTATGTCGTCAAAGCTTTTATAAATATTGTAAGATTAGGGCGCTTTTGTAGGTAATTAAAGGAGAATTTGTAGACTTCGTTAATGATAACTGCCCTGTGATTAGTGCTACTTCTTTGTACAAAAAGTGAAAATGGTATATTTGCCTCAAAATATTTGCCTATAAAAGGTATCGTCTTTGTCCAAGATTGAAACGGCAGAAGCAGCAGCAGCAGCAGCAGCAGCAGCAGAAGCAACAGCAGCAGCAGCAGCAGCAGCAGCAGCAGCAAAAGCAGCAGAAGCAACAGCAGCAGCAGAAGGAGCAGCAACAGCAGCAGCAGCAGATGCAGCAGCAGCAGATGCAGCAGCAAAAGCAACAGCAGCAGATGCAGCAGCAAAAGCAACAGCAGCAGAAGCAGCAGCAACAGCAGCAGAAGCAGCAGCAGCAGAAGAAGAAGAAGCAGAAATAGCAGTAGCAACAGCAAAAACAGCAGCAGCAGAAGTAGCAGCAGCGTTATTATAATTCCTTAGTATACTATGTGATAGTAAGGGGAGAGAGTGAAAGTTAGAGAGAATGAAGTGAGAAGGATAGGCGGAGAGTAGGGAGAAGGAAGATGATGGGAGAGATGAGAGGGAAGAGGGAGAGAGAGTGGTGAGACGAATGGGAGAGGGGAGGGGGGGGCGGGAAAGATGCATAAGGGGAGGAAGACGGAGGGAGGGGGCTGCAGATGGGAAAATAAATGTGGGTGTAATGGCGGGTGGTGGAACAGTGTCCCGGGCACCACCGGGTATACTCCTCCCAGTACGGATTATAGAGAAGACTGAGGCTGGAATCAGCGATCTAGCGGCCCTTTGCCGTCTATAATCTTGGGAACAACACACTACCATTCACTTGGATGGTCATAAAACACTGTAATGTAGCAACGCGTTGCATTTTTGTTCATCACATTTCAACAACAGTTATCGTTAAAGATGAACAATATCTGTGTTCATAACGTAACGCTGAACATACACAACGTACTGCAGTCAGCAGCTTAAGCTTGTATTGTGTTAGTCATATATAGCTTTAAGCCTGGTCAGCGTCTGTCTGCTGACTTGGCATCTTGGGAGAAAACTGATATCTCCAAAAACAAGGTTGTGAAGGACCGAGAGTAAAACTAACGTCTGCCTGTCACTCGCAGCTGAGGCAAAAGTCGATATATAACGCCTCTCCGTCTGAATAATACCCTTCTTATCCGGCACCCTTTTTGTCGACAGCGGTTCTTGAATATTTTAATAACATTTATAAAGCATTCGCTATGGCATGTCTCAGCGTCCGTGAGCGACTATATCCCTGGCAACACAAACTGGAACTGTCTCTATTTTCCGCTTGTTACAACTTGTAATAAAGTTGACCAGACCACACACTAGAAGGTGAAGGGACGACGACGTTTCAGTCCATCCTGGACCATTCTCAAGTCGATTGAGAATGTAATAACGTTGTAATAAAGTTGTTACATCTTGGCTTAACGTGTTTATGGCGTATTAGAACGTTGTTACATATTACTATGGTGAGCTGTATAATACGTTGATGAGTGTGATTATATTGTGTATGTTAGTATTATTTGTTGTGTATATGAGTGGGTGTGTGTGATATACTTATCTCCTGCATAGCAGGAGATAAGTATATCTACCAGTCCATTTTGCCTGTTCCTTACCACCTACATATCAGCATGCTCCAACATCAAGAAACAACAACAATACGTGCCAAAACGTATTGTCTAGACACACCTTCCCCCCTTCCTCCACCTTACCTGCCACGAGAGACGGCGCACCTGCCGTCTCGCCACCTCACCAGACGCCAGACAAACTATCACGATGGTCGTTATCCTGCCGGTACCTCGTCAACAGCTCCAGAACTCGCGTCCAGTCTGACGTCACCGCCCATATATAAGGATTTGCCAGCGTCCAGTACAGCAGATTACCCTTCTTGTGCTCATTGCTTCAGCATCTATGTCCGCCTAAGGGTGACGGTTATCTTGAGAGGTTATCTTGAGATGATTTCAGGGCTTTTAGTGTCCCCGCGGCCCGGTCCTCGACCAGGCCTCCACCCCCAGGAAGCAGCCCGTGACAGCTGACTAACACCCAGGTACCTATTTACTGCTAGGTAACAGGGGCATAGGGTGAAAGAAACTCTGCCCAATGTTTCTCGCCGGCGCCTGGGATCGAACCCAGGACCACAGGATCACAAGTCCAGCGTGCTGTCCGCTCGGCCGACCGGCTCCCTTTTGAAGCTCATAGCATTTTGTATAAAGTATTACCTTCATCTTTGTATTTACGTAAATTCACATGTATATATTTTTCTTTTGATTGTGTTTAACCTAAGTGGTTAAGGGGTTTTGTTTTCATTGTTTATCATTTTGTGTAAAATAAAAGTCATATTTTGTTATATTAAATGTTTAAATTTTTTATTTTCTTGTTGTTTACCAGCAAATGACACCAGGACCCAGCAGTTTTATTTTAATTTATTTTCTCTTTTTTTTTTATTCATGTGAGATTGGCGCAACACGCGCCAGAGTAGTTACTGCTCTGTTCCAGATCACGTCAGTGTGTGTGTGTGTGTGTGTGTGTGTGTGTGTGTGTGTGTGTGTGTGTGTGTGTGTGTGTGTGTGTGTGTGTGTGTGTTCTCTTACGATAATATGGTCCATCATAATAGTACTCAGACTTCTATGAGTCATACTCATTCAGAACTAGCATGAAGAGCTGCTTGGAAATATTTATATTATCTTGTATAAATATGTGTAATGAGGTTGGTACCAGGTTGTATATGTGTTTTATGGTATCATTTTAATCAAACAAAAATAGCACCTCTTACTTCAAGTCCTTCGAAGCCTCTTCTCAGGTCACATGAACTAGATTAACTAATGGGAAGTGATCTAAGACATCATGCACCAAAGTGCCCGTGATTAAGTATTGCCTGTTTGACGTCAACACTATCGCACACGGAGGTGCGCAAGTGCGTCTGACATTTTTCTCTTGTGTCTTCTCTTGTAATAAGGGACGCGTGTTCGCGTCCATTATTAAAATATTTGGTAAAAATCTAAAGTTTATCCGATCAATCTGGGACTGGTTTCAAACTGAGCGCCTTTAGATTGCGCACAAGTTGATACCATAATGACGACGTAGCCTCACAACTGAGGTCAGAACACTAGAAAGATTACAAATCCTTTTGTGATGATGAGCGTCCAAAATATAAAATATTTCTTAAAATTCCATTTATTGTTCTATTATTATGGGACTAGTTTTAAAATGCGCGCCTTTATATTGCGAACAATTTGATACCAAAGTGAAAGACGTAACACAAAAATGATGTTATCAAACTGAAACGAGTGTACACATTAGGTTGCGGGTGTGCCAATTGGTGCTCGTTAACGGGTAACGGTTGGCCGACTTTAGTCTTTGCTGCGGGGGAGTCACGCCGGGCTATTGGACCTTATATGCATACATCCCTGTAGGGAATTCTATTGCGAACACATTTGATACCAAAACGAACGACGTAGCACGAGAATTAAGGTGAAAAAACTGAAACGAGTATACACATTTCAGTGTTGCCACATGCTTGAACGAAACGTCGGGGGCATTTCCGGGATGTCTGCGGAGCTCACGCGACGAGCACGAAAGTGTTGTTGGAGTCTGGAGGAGCAGCATCACAGAATACATGCTACCTACAGCATTCTTAGTACCATGTGGTCAGTCGTGGGATTAATAAACAAGTGATGGCACTTAATCTTTTAAGACAAGCCCTTCCGTTTATACCAACCAACGGTTGTCGTTGAGACGAGCACCTGTACCATGACGCAGATGTTCATCTCCAGGAGACAACCCCCCCCCCACACACACACACACCAGTGGAGTCACACAGGGCTCTGTACTCGGTCCTATCTTGTTTCTGATATATGTAAATGATCTTCCGGAGGGTATAGATTCATTTCTCTCAATGTTTGCTGACGACGCCAAAATTATGAGAAGGATTAAGACAGAGGAGGACTGCTTGAGGCTTCAAGAAGACCTGGACAAGCTGCAGGAATGGTCGAACAAATGGTTCTAAGAGTTTAACCCAAGCAAATGTAATGTAATGAAGATAGGTGTAGGGAGAAGGAGGCCAGATACTAGGTGTCATCTGGGAGATGAAATTCTTCAAGAGTCAGAGAGAGAAAAAGACTTGGGGGTTGATATCACGCCAGACTTGTCTCTTGCAGCCCTTATCAAGAGGATAACATCAGCGGCATATGCCAGGCTGGCCAACACAAGAACGGCATTCAGAAACTTGTGTAAGGAACTCACAATTCAGAACTTTGTATACCACATATGTCAGGCCAATCGTGGAGTATGCAGCCCCAGCATGGAGTCCATATCTAGTCAAGGATAAGACTAAACTGGAAAAGGTTCAAAGGTTTGCCACCAGACTAGTACCCGAACTGAGAGGAATGAGCTACGAGAAGAGACTACGGGAATTAAACCTCACTTCGCTGGAAGACAGAAGATTTAGGAGGGACATGATCTCCATATTCAAGATTCTCAAGGGAATTGATAGGGTAGATAAAGACAGGCTGTTTAACACAAGGGGCACACACTAGGGGACACAGGTGGAAACTGAGTGCCCAAATGAGCCACAGAGATATTAGAAAGAACGTTTTTAGTGTCAGAGTGGTTGACAAATGGAATGCATTAGGAAGTGATGTGGTGGAGGCTGACTCCATACACAGTTTCAGGTGTAGATATGATAGAGCCCAATAGGCTCAGGAACCTGTACATTAGTTGATTGACGGTTGAGAGGCGGGACCAAAGAGCCAGAGCTCAACCCCAGCAAGCACAAATAGGTGAGTACAAATTGGTGAATACATACACACACAGTCGTGCCAGACGTTTACTGTATTTAGAAGAGGATGAGACTTATAGCAAAACGCATGGCTGGTAGCTCCTCCGTCCCTACCCTGCCTCAACTGACTACAGCGGCTGATAACAGCCGTGGGATTTAATGTGATACTGTATGTGTACAAAAACACTGCCGAGTATTCATTGGACAGATGTGAGAGTTTACAGCGAGCCACCCTGGTGGACTCAGCTGTACAGTGACCGCCTTGTGCATTGGTATCGTGTATCACTTGTCAAGCTGAAGAGTGCTGTCAACCTTTCACAAACATAAATATACGGGCAATATATTAATGTTGTCTGAAGGAGGCTACATTTTATTGCAGTGTTCTCAGATTCATAATTATTGTATTATATTGCACAGTTGGTTGTATTTTAAGTACGTCTCCGACCATAATATATTTAGTGAAGAACTACATCTGTTTAGAGGGATTAGTCCATAAAAAAAAGAGATTATTTTGTCTTTCCAAAGCTTCCGTGAGATAGATTTCGCTTGCTCATGCATTAATAACTAGTGATTATTTATGTATATTGTGTTTTAATTATTATTCACAATAATATGTGCCTAACTAGTATTAATATATGCCAGGATACAGACTAGTAGATGGCAAATATTCCGAGCATCAAAATGATGTTAGATTAGACAAGGTGCTTCTGTGTTTCCTTATTCATATTGTGTTTCTTATGTTAATACTGCCACTGTGTTAGTAAACCTTATTGTATAACTCGCGTAGTATAATTATCCCCTTTTTTTATGTCGTGACCGTTCAATAGTTAGGGGGCCTGACGGCTGAGTGGACAGTGCTCGGGGTTCGTAGTTATAAGGGTCCGGGTTCGATCCTTGGCGAAGACAGAAACAAATGGGCAAAATTTCTTTCACCCTAATGCGTCTGCTCATGTAGCAGTAACTAGGTACCTGGGAGTTAGACAGCTACTACGGACTGCTTCCTGTGTGTGTGTGTACTCACCTAGTTGTGTCTGCAGGATCGAGCATTGACTCTTGGATCCCGCCTTTCGAGCATCGGTTGTTTACAGCAATGACTCCTGTCCTATTTCCCTATCATACCTGGTTTTAAAATTATGAATAGTATTTGCTTCCACAACCTGTTCCTGAAGTGCATTCCATTTCCCCACTACTCTCACGCTAAAAGAAAACTTCCTAACATCTCTGTGACTCATCTGAGTTTCAAGCTTCCATCCATGTCCTCTCGTTCTGTTACTATTCCGTGTGAACATTTCGTCTATGTCCACTCTGTCAATTCCTCTGAGTATCTTATACGTTCCTATCATGTCCCCCCTCTCCCTTCTTCTTTCTAGTGTCGTAAGGCACAGTTCCCTCAGGCGCTCTTCATACCCCATCCCTCGTAGCTCTGGGACGAGTCTCGTTGCAAACCTCTGAACCTTTTCCAGTTTCATTATATGCTTCTTCAGATGGGGACTCCATGATGAGGCGGCATACTCTAAGACTGGCCTTACGTAGGCAGTGTAAAGCGCCCTAAATGCCACACACACACACACAAAATGTGTGTGTGTGTGTGTGTGTGTGTGTGTGTGTGTGTGTGTGTGTGTGTGTGTGTGTGTGCAACCCGTTCTCGCACTTTCTTACGGTCAATATTGACTTACTAAATACGTGCATATGTGACATACTAAACATATTAGTTTACCTTGAAAAGCTTCATAGAAAACACCGACCTTACCTAACCTTCTTAGTATGTTAAGATAAGCATCTTATTGCTTCGTAATTACAATTATTACTTAACCTATACCTATAATAGGTATAATTACTTATTATTACTTAATCTATACCTATAATAGGTTAAGTAATAATTGTAATTACGAAGCATTAAGATGCTTATCTTAACATACTGTGACGATAATCTCTTTCAAGAGAGATTGAGCCTGCTCTTCCCTACAACATTTACGTCATTCAAGTACAAGATACTATATTGAAGATACGTCCACCTGTATCGCCAAACGTTTTGCCCAGGAAGCAAAGCGTACCTTGCACCACCAGACACACTGGCTCCCGCCCGCCGTCCAACCAGCAAACTACTCATTCTCCGCCTGCCTGTTCCTGATTGGCTGGTGTGTTGCCGCACCTGCACTCACGCCACTACCTGAGTCGACGTCTGGGCCAGCACACACCGTACTCCTCAGAATATATCTTTGCTCTTTGGAGTTGACATCTCTCTCTAGTAGACAAAGCTCTGGCTGTCGTGTACTAAGGGAGGTGGCAGCTTGAAGCCAGTATTCTCAGCAACTGATTTGATTTACTATTACTATTACTTACACTTTATTTTGTCTTAGAGTAAATTTTTACTGCCATTAGTTATTCATGTTGTTTTGTTTGTTGACTTGTTTTGAATTTTACGTAAGCCAAGAGATTGTCTTTATTCATATCTTGTTTTCTAGAGTAATTAAAATTTCATTGTTTATACTTTGTGTTTTGTGTGCCTTCCCATTACCTTACCACAGACAAACGGGCAAACGATCTTCTTTTCTTTTTCTCTGTAAATGTGACGAGGCCTTGCCCCCAGATATTGAAACAGCCGAACATCAGCACTCCAACACTTTACCGTCACAATACTAAGAAGGTTAGGTAAGGTGGGTGTTTTCTATGAATCTTTTCAAGGTAAACTAGTATGATAAGTATGTAACATATGCACGTATTTAATAAGTCAATATTGACTATACGAAAATGCGAGAACGGGTTGGTGTGTGTGTGTGAATATTAGGATTAAGGACCTACCCAAAACGCTATGCGTGCTAGTGGCTGCACGAGAACTTAAAAACCCATGTATATATAAATAAATAAATAAATAAATAGTGTATGGATCATTCTTTTTTCATCCTTTTTCATTCATTCAAACATTCATTCAAGCAGCATTCTTTTTCTCATTCAAACTTCGCTGTGAAATGGAGCATAAGGCCTTTGAGCAGTCATTAATAACTCTGTCTCACAGTGTATTATTTTCCCATTAAGTTCTTGCTGCGTTATATTTCTTCAAGGAAATCACATATTTTTGTTAAATTCATAACTGATACATGCCTGCGATATGGTCAATTTTTCCGTGTCCTCTTTCCTCTTGTTTTTAAGTAAAATAAGTGTTAGCATCTATAAGTTCACAAATGAAGCTTCTAGTTCAATTATTCTACCTGTCTCCACATTTTTTACATTGATCAAATCAAGCCTCTCTAATTCATCGTCTCTCATTCATTGTTAACTTTCTGGTGCAGTCAACATGAAAAGTTTCGTTCTTCAACAACCGCAACATTGTTCTTCACGTTTCGGTAGTCTCTGACATCATTGTCTTGGTTGCAGTCTTCCAGGATTAGCAGTAATGTTCTATAAGAGTTCATGCTTAGAACTGATGTTGATGTTCTCCCAGCATCAGTGAGAGCACTCTCTTCCTGTGTATGCTAAATGGTATTATATCTGTTTTCATGTCTAAATAAAATAAATATAGTAAATAAAATGCAATGTATTCATGTCTAAAGGTTCTGCTAATATGCTCGGGTGTGTGCGTAGTTATAAATGATGGTCGCGACCTGAATCTTTTGGTCCGTGTCCTTGTATCCGTGATGAGATATGCGTGTACTGTATTATCTGCAGGATCCAGCTGTTAGCTCTTGGGCCCCGCCTTTCTAACCGTTGGCTGTATAATGTACAGACTCTCGATCTATTTTCCCCTGTCCAGTCTACAACATATATTTCTAACACACACACACACACACACACACACACACACACACACACACACACACACACACACACACACACACACACACACATACACACACACACACACACACACACACACACGCGCACACGCGCACGCGCGCACACACACACGTACGCTGTTGAGAGGCGGGACCAAAGAGCCAGAGCTTAACCCCCGCAAGCACAACTAGGTGAGAACACACAAATCCCCAGGATGCAGTCAGTAACAGCGGTCAAACACCCAGGTACTGCTAGGTGAACAGACTCATCAGGTGAGAGGAACTCTGTCTTTTGTTTATTTGATTATTTCTGCCACGGCTGGAAGACCTGTAGCCTTTGTCACTTTCAGATCTAGCAGACGCTTCCTCACCTCCCCACTGGTAATCACAAACTCATCTAGTGGTGTTTGGTTAGATATCCCATCTCCTAACTCTGGGACTTCCCTTTGCTCTACTGTGAAGACCTCCTGGAATTTCTTATTGAGTTCCTCGCACACTTCATTGTCGTTTGTAGTAAATTTGTCTGTCCCTATCCTCAGTTTCATTACCTGTTCCTTCGCTGTTGTTTTTCTCCTGATGTGGCTGTGCAGCAATTTAGGTCGAGTCTTTGCCTTGCTTGCTATATCGTTTTCATATTGCCTTTCTGCCTCTCTTCTCACCCTGACATATTCAATCCTGGCGCTCTGGTATCTTTCTCTGCTCACTTGTGTCCTATTATTTCTATTGTTTCTCCACGCCCTTGTACTGTGTTGCTCTGCTAGCTTACCTCTCTAAATAAACCATGGGTTTCTCGTCTGCATTTCATTTCTTTTCTTTTGGACTGGGACGAACTTGTCTGCTGCCTCCTTACACTTCTGTGGGATTTAGTCCATCATGTCTTGGGCTGTCTTTCCTCCAAGCTCTGCTTCCCAAATTATATATGTTAGGAGTTTTCTTATAACATCATAGTTTCCCTTTCAGAATGCCAGCCTTTTGATTTCTGGAATCTTCCTTGAGTACCTTAACCCTTCTTCAACCAGATACTCAAACGTCAGTACACTGTGATCACTCATTCCCACTGTGGCTTCGAAAGCGCATTTCCTTATGTCCGAGTCGTTCAGAGTGAAGACTAGGTCGAGTCTCGCTGGTTCATCGTTGCCTCTCATTCTTGTGGGTCCCCTGACATGCTGGCTTAAAAAGTTTCTTAAAAGTTTGTGTATGGGTGTGGGTGTGTGTTTGTGTGTGTGTGTGTATTCAAATAGTTGTGCTTGCGGGGGTTGAGCTCTGCTCTTTCGGCCCGCCTCTTAACTGTCAATCAACCGTTTCTAACTACTACTACTTTTTTTCTCCCCTCACACACCCCAGGAAACAGCCCGTGACAGCTGACTAACCCCCAAGTACCTATTTACTGCAAGGTAACAGGAGCATAAGGTGAAAGAAACTCTGCCCATCGTTTCTTGCTGGCGCCCGGGATCGAACCCGGGACCACAGGATCACGTGTCCAGCGTTTTGTCCGCTCTGCCACCGATTCCCCTTGTGTGTGTGTGTGTGTGTACTCATCTAGATGTACTCACCTAGTTGTGTTTGCGGGGGTTGAGCTCTGGCTCTTTGGTCCCGCCTCTCAACCGTCAATCAACAGGTGTACAGATTCCTGAGCCTATCGGGCTCTGTCATATCTACACTTGAAACTGTGTATGGAGTCAGCCTCCACCACATCACTGCCTAATGCATTCCATTTGTCAACCACTCTGACACTAAAAAAGTTCCTTCTAATATCTCTGTGGCTCATTTGGACACTCAGTTTCCACCTGTGTCCCCTTGTGCGTGTTCCCCTTGTGTTAAATAGACTGCCTTTATCTACCCTATCAATCCCCTTCAGAATCTTGAATGTGGTGATCATGTCCCCCCTAACTCTTCTGTCTTCCAGCGAAGTGAGGTTTAATTCCCGTAGTCTCTCCTCGTAGCTCATACCTCTCAGCTCGGGTACTAGTCTGGTGGCAAACCTTTGAACCTTTTCCAGTTTAGTCTTATCCTTGACTAGATATGGACTCCATGCTGGGGCTGCATACTCCAGGATTGGCCTGACATATGTGGTATACAAAGTTCTGAATGATTCTTTACACAGGTTTCTGAATGCCGTTCGTATGTTGGCCAGCCTGGCATATGCAGCTGATGTTATCCGCTTGATATGTGCTGCAGGAGACAGGTCTGGCGTGATATCAACCCCCAAGTCTTTTTCCTTCTCTGACTCCTGAAGAATTTCCTCTCCCAGATGATACCTTGTATCTGGCCTCCTGCTCCCTACACCTATCTTCATTACATTACATTTGGTTGGGTTAAACTCTAACAACCATTTGTTCAACCATTCCTTCAGCTTGTCTAGGTCTTCTTGAAGCCTCAAACAGTCCTCTTCTGTTTTAATCCTTCTCATAATTTTAGCATCGTCCGCAAACATTGAGAGAAATGAATCGATACCCTCCGGGAGATCATTTACATATATCAGAAACAAGATAGGACCGAGTACAGAGCCCTGTGGGACTCCACTGGTGACTTCACGCCAATCGGAGGTCTCACCCCTCACCGTAACTCTCTGCTTCCTATTGCTTAGGTACTCCCTTATCCACTGGAGTATCCTTATCCACACACACACACACTATGTGTGTGTGTGTGTGTGTGTGTGTGTGTGTGTGTGTGTGTGTGTGTGTGTGTGTGTGTGTGTGTGTGTGAGAGAGAGAGAGATATCCCCCATCACCCAACACCCAAGACCCCAAAATAACAAATCCCTGTCATCCACGAGACCACCCTCTCATGGGAAAAAGCCCCGCTTAACGAAGTAAAACGTATAATTTCACAGGCCGTACACCTCGGCCAATATATATCCCCGGCAGTATGCAAATTGGCCCTCGCAAGAAAAGCAGGAGCGACCCGCCTGCCGCGCCACAGCTGGCGACTCTAAACTCCATGAACGTATAATATGGTGCTTCATTGCCTCAGGGAGGACCACCGCCATGAAGACCTTGCCACAGAGAGACCCCGGGCCGACCCACAGGTGCTGGGGACGAGGCCGCAGGTGCACCAACACTGACGGAGGAATGAGATCGTAGTTGCTTTTGAGAATGTGTTTATACGGTTAGTGGCCGTATGAATTAGTGCCTCTGGTACTGGTGGTGGTGGTATGGTCTCTGGTACTGGTGGTGGTGGTATGGTCTCTGGTACTGGTGGTGGTGGTGTGAAGGGTCTCTGGTACTGGTGGTGGTGGTGGTATGCAGGGTCTCTGGTACTGGTGGTGGTGGTTTGAAGGGCCTCTGGTACTGGTGGTGGTGGTATGAAGGGTCTCTGGTACTGGTGGTGGTGGTATGAAGGGTCTCTGGTACTGGTGGTGGTGTGAAGTGTCTCTGGTACTGGTGGTGGTGGTATGAAGGGTCTCTGGTACTGGTGGTGGTGGTGTGAAGGGCCTCTGGTACTGGTGGTGGTGGTATGAAGGGTCTCTGGTACTGGTGGTGGTGGTATGAAGGGTCTCTGGTACTGGTGGTGGTGGTATGAAGGGTCTCTTGTACTGGTGGTGGTGGTATGAAGGGCCTCTGGTACTGGTGGTGGTGGTGGTGTGAAGGGTCTCTGGTACTGGTGGTGTGAAGTGCCTCTGGTACTGGTGGTGGTGGTGTGAAGGGCCTCTGGTACTGGTACTGGTGGTGGTGTGAAGGGTCTCTGGTACTGGTGGTGGTGGTGTGAAGGGCCTCTGGTACTGGTGGTGGTGGTGTGAAGGGTCTCTGGTACTGGTGGTGGTGGTGTGAAGGGTCTCTGGTACTGGTGGTGGTGGTGGTATGAAGGGTCTCTGGTACTGGTGGTGGTGGTGGTATGAAGGGTCTCTGGTACTGGCGGTGGTGGTGGTATGAAGGGTCTCTGGTACTGGTGGTGGTGGTGGTATGAAGGGTCTCTGGTACTGGTGGTGGTGGTGGTATGAAGGGTCTCTGGTACTGGTGGTGGTGGTGGTATGAAGGGTCTCTGGTACGGGTGGTGGTGGTGGTATGAAGGGTCTCTGGTACTGGTGGTGGTGGTGGTATGAAGGGTCTCTGGTACTGGTGGTGGTGGTGGTATGAAGGGTCTCTGGTACTGGTGGTGGTGGTGTTATGAAGGGTCTCTGGTACTGGTGGTGGTATGAAGGGGCTCTGGTACTGGTGGTGGTGGTGGTGTGAAGGGTCTCTGGTACTGGTGGTGGTGGTGTGAAGGGCCTCTGGTACTGGTGGTGGTGGTGTGAAGGGTCTCTGGTACTGGTGGTGGTGGTGTGAAGGGCCTCTGGTACTGGTGGAGGTGGTGTGAAGGGTCTCTGGTACTGGTGGTGGTGGTGGTGTGAAGGGTCTCTGGTACTGGTGGTGGTGGTGTGAAGGGCCTCTGGTACTGGTGGTGGTGGTGTGAAAGGTCTCTGGTACTGGTGGTGGTGGTGTGAAGGGTCTCTGGTACTGGTGGTGGTGGTGGTGTGAATGGGCCTCTGGTACTGGTGGTGGTGGTGTGAAGGGTCTCTGGTACTGGTGGTGGTGGTATGAAGGGCCTCTGGTACTGGTGGTGGTGGTGTGAAGGGCCTCTGGTACTGGTGGAGGTGGTGTGAAGGGTCTCTGGTACTGGTGGGGGTGGTGGTGTGAAGGGTCTCTGGTACTGGTGGTGGTGGTGGTGTGAAGGGTCTCTGGTACTGGTGGTGGTGGTGGTGTGAAGGGTCTCTGGTACTGGTGGTGGTGGTGGTATGAAGGGTCTCTTGTACTGGTGGTGGTGGTATGAAGGGTCTCTGGTACTGGTGGTGGTATGAAGGGTCTCTGGTACTGGTGGTGGTGGAGTGAAGGGTCTCTGGTACTGGTGGTGGTGGTATGAAGGGTCTCTGGTACTGGTGGTGGTGGTGTGAAGGGTCTCTGGTACTGGTGGTGGTGATGGTATGAAGGGTCTCTGGTACTGGTGGTGGTGGTATGAAGGGTGTCTTGTACTGGTGGTGGTGGTATGAAGGGTCTCTGGTACTGGTGGTGGTGGTGTGATGGGTCTCTGGTACTGGTGGTGGTGGTATGAAGGGTCTCTGGTACTGGTGGTGGTGGTATGAAGGGTCTCTGGTACTGGTGGTGGTGGTGTGAAGGGTCTCTGGTACTGGTGGTGGTGGTATGAAGGGTCTCTGTTACTGGTGGTGGTGGTGTGAAGGGTCTCTGGTACAGGTGGTGGTGGTGTGAAGGGTCTCTAGTACTGGTGGTGATGGTATGAAGGGTCTTTGGTACTGGTGGTGGTGGTATGAAGGGTCTCTGGTACTGGTGGTGGTGGTGGTGTGAAGGGCCTCTGGTACTGGTGGTGGTGGTGTGAAGAGCCTCTGGTACTGGTGGTGGTGGTATGAAGGGTCTCTGGTACTGGTGGTGGTGGTATGAAGGGTCTCTGGTACTGGTGGTGGTGGTGTGAAGGGTCTCTGGTACTGGTGGTGGTGGTATGAAGGGTCTCTGTTACTGGTGGTGGTGGTGTGAAGGGTCTCTGGTACAGGTGGTGGTGGTGTGAAGGGTCTCTAGTACTGGTGGTGGTGGTATGAAGGGTCTTTGGTACTGGTGGTGGTGGTATGAAGGGTCTCTGGTACTGGTGGTGGTGGTGGTGTGAAGGGCCTCTGGTACTGGTGGTGGTGGTGTGAAGGGCCTCTGGTACTGGTGGTGGTGGTGGTGTGAAGGGCCTCTGGTACTGGTAGTGGTGGTGGTGTGAAGGGCCTCTGGTACTGGTGGTGGTGGTGGTGTGAAGGGTCTCTGGTACTGGTGGTGGTGGTGTGAAGGGTCTCTGGTACTGGTGGTGGTGGTGGTGTGAAGGGTCTCTGGTACTGGTGGTGGTGGTGGTGTGAAGGGTCTCTGGTACTGGTGGTGGTGGTGGTGGTGTGAAGGGTCTCTGGTACTGGTGGTGGTGGTGGTGTGAAGGGCCTCTGGTACTGGTGGTGGTGGTGGTGGTGTGAAGGGCCTCTGGTACTGGTGGTGGTGGTGGTGTGAAGGGTCTCTGGTACTGGTGGTGGTGGTGGTGTGAAGGGCCTCTGGTACTGGTGGTGGTGGTATGAAGGGTCTCTGGTACTGGTGGTGGTGTGAAGTGTCTCTGGTACTGGTGGTGGTGGTATGAAGGGTCTCTGGTACTGGTGGTGGTGGTGTGAAGGGCCTCTGGTACTGGTGGTGGTGGTATGAAGGGTCTCTGGTACTGGTGGTGGTGGTATGAAGGGTCTCTGGTACTGGTGGTGGTGGTATGAAGGGTCTCTTGTACTGGTGGTGGTGGTATGAAGGGCCTCTGGTACTGGTGGTGGTGGTGGTGTGAAGGGTCTCTGGTACTGGTGGTGTGAAGTGCCTCTGGTACTGGTGGTGGTGGTGTGAAGGGCCTCTGGTACTGGTACTGGTGGTGGTGTGAAGGGTCTCTGGTACTGGTGGTGGTGGTGTGAAGGGCCTCTGGTACTGGTGGTGGTGGTGTGAAGGGTCTCTGGTACTGGTGGTGGTGGTGTGAAGGGTCTCTGGTACTGGTGGTGGTGGTGGTATGAAGGGTCTCTGGTACTGGTGGTGGTATGAAGGGTCTCTGGTACTGGCGGTGGTGGTGGTATGAAGGGTCTCTGGTACTGGTGGTGGTGGTGGTATGAAGGGTCTCTGGTACTGGTGGTGGTGGTGGTATGAAGGGTCTCTGGTACTGGTGGTGGTGGTGGTATGAAGGGTCTCTGGTACGGGTGGTGGTGGTGGTATGAAGGGTCTCTGGTACTGGTGGTGGTGGTGGTATGAAGGGTCTCTGGTACTGGTGGTGGTGGTGGTATGAAGGGTCTCTGGTACTGGTGGTGGTGGTGGTATGAAGGGTCTCTGGTACTGGTGGTGGTATGAAGGGTCTCTGGTACTGGTGGTGGTGGTGGTGTGAAGGGTCTCTGGTACTGGTGGTGGTGGTGTGAAGGGCCTCTGGTACTGGTGGTGGTGGTGTGAAGGGTCTCTGGTACTGGTGGTGGTGGTGTGAAGGGCCTCTGGTACTGGTGGAGGTGGTGTGAAGGGTCTCTGGTACTGGTGGTGGTGGTGGTGTGAAGGGTCTCTGGTACTGGTGGTGGTGGTGTGAAGGGCCTCTGGTACTGGTGGTGGTGGTGTGAAAGGTCTCTGGTACTGGTGGTGGTGGTGTGAAGGGTCTCTGGTACTGGTGGTGGTGGTGGTGTGAAGGGCCTCTGGTACTGGTGGTGGTGGTGTGAAGGGTCTCTGGTACTGGTGGTGGTGGTATGAAGGGCCTCTGGTACTGGTGGTGGTGGTGTGAAGGGCCTCTGGTACTGGTGGAGGTGGTGTGAAGGGTCTCTGGTACTGGTGGGGGTGGTGGTGTGAAGGGTCTCTGGTACTGGTGGTGGTGGTGGTGTGAAGGGTCTCTGGTACTGGTGGTGGTGGTGGTGTGAAGGGTCTCTGGTACTGGTGGTGGTGGTGGTATGAAGGGTCTCTTGTACTGGTGGTGGTGGTATGAAGGGTCTCTGGTACTGGTGGTGGTATGAAGGGTCTCTGGTACTGGTGGTGGTGGAGTGAAGGGTCTCTGGTACTGGTGGTGGTGGTATGAAGGGTCTCTGGTACTGGTGGTGGTGGTGTGAAGGGTCTCTGGTACTGGTGGTGGTGATGGTATGAAGGGTCTCTGGTACTGGTGGTGGTGGTATGAAGGGTGTCTTGTACTGGTGGTGGTGGTATGAAGGGTCTCTGGTACTGGTGGTGGTGGTGTGATGGGTCTCTGGTACTGGTGGTGGTGGTATGAAGGGTCTCTGGTACTGGTGGTGGTGGTATGAAGGGTCTCTGGTACTGGTGGTGGTGGTGTGAAGGGTCTCTGGTACTGGTGGTGGTGGTATGAAGGGTCTCTGTTACTGGTGGTGGTGGTGTGAAGGGTCTCTGGTACAGGTGGTGGTGGTGTGAAGGGTCTCTAGTACTGGTGGTGATGGTATGAAGGGTCTTTGGTACTGGTGGTGGTGGTATGAAGGGTCTCTGGTACTG